TCACTTAAATTTACTGCCTCCACAACATCCAAAGTCAACTCATTCTAAAATCCAACCAACCTGTTAGAAAAAAAAACTGTCTAAGACTGAAAATGACTCCTACCCTGCCAAAATTTATATCTGTGTCCCCTAGTCCTACCATACTCACTGTTAAGTATGAAAAAAGATGACGTATCAATTCCTTTAACAATCTTAAACACCTCAATCAGTTCCCATCTAACTCTTCTTGTTTCCAAAGAAAACAATTTTAGAGATCTTAACCTCTCCTTGTATGACAACCCCTCCATCCCAGGAACCATTCTATTGTTACGCCTCCGTTTGTTAATTGATTTTCCGTAACTTCGTTCCGACGAAACTTAAGTGACACAAGTTCTTTCTTAATAAAACTGGTTTATTCTTTCCGGATATAACTTTACCGATACACTTAACTTCAACAATCATGCTAATCAACGAACGTCAACAATACTTCTGACTGCAAATCAGTTACTCACTATCTCCACACACATTACATTACCGCGTCACGTTGTCCCCTCTTATATATACCAGCCTACCCTACATCTAGTAAGAAGTAGAACATTCGCCAAAGTACAGGATAATTCTAGAAAGTAGAGAGCGTGAGAATCACATGATCTCGATGACGCAACAATATTATAAACAAAATGGATTGTTATATTTTAGTAAATACTTCATTGTATGGATGCAACAATACCACTACAGAAATATACACGCGAATCAGTGGGGAGCAAGAGGGAGTTTAACAATTAGTTAAATGAAAGATGTTGATTAGAATAACAATAACAATGTAGAAAAGTAGAACAACAATATTACAGAAATAAATACAAACCGGCGAAATAATGACGGTTAGCCATTACAACACACGTTCGGCATTGATAACTACAGGATTATAATAATGCAACTTTTTTTTTGTTAGTATTTGAAACTATTAAATGATACTTATTTACCAAAGAATATAAATGGATCTTTACAGTTAGAAATAGGATATACATATTATTTTTAATGTAACAATATATATTTTTACGTATACTTTTGGAATTTAGCGTCATGGATCATCCTGTCCCTATTTTAAAATTTCGAAAATTATTTACCTTGACAGAAAAACGTAGGTTTAGTAAATATGAGATACAGTGTTTATTAACACATTTTAATCACTGTAAACACATACCTTTTGTAAGTCTGGATTGACGATCTCTCGAGGACCTTTTTCTAGCTTGTCCATATTCTGAAAGTTACTGATGGTGATAAAAAAAGGAATTTTATTTTTAAGAGATACACGAAAAAACAAGAACAACAATAACAACGGAATACAGAACACGAAACAAAACCAAAGAGCAAAAAAACTCACGATAAAAATGTAAAGAAGTTTGATTGTAATTAAGTGTAAAGCTACACAATGGGCTATCTGTGGTTTGCTCACCACAGGTATCGAAACCTGGTTTCTAGCGTTGTAAGTCCGCAGACATACCGCTGTGCCACTGGGACAAGTACAGTGTTGTGTGTTTTAAGACCTTCTAAGCACCTGGAAACAGGTACAAGACAGTATCAAGGTGACATCTTGTTTCATTGATTCGTTCACGAGTTTGAAATCAGTCCGAATTCAACAGACCAATGACTAATTCACCTATAAAAAAACAAAAATCAAATTAAAAAGGTCAACATTCGTGAGCGAATGCAACATGTCTCATCCACAAGATGTCTCCTCCACAACACGTCTCACCCACAACATGTCTCATCCACAACATGTCTCTTCCACAAGATGTCTCTTACACAACATGTCTCATCCACAACATGTCTCATCCACAACATGTCTCTTCCACAAGATGTCTCTTCCACAAGATGTCTCTTCCACAAGATGTTTCTTCCACAACACGTCTCATCCACAACATGTCTCATCCACAACATGTCTCTTCCACAAGATGTCTCATCCACAACATGTCTCATCCACAACACGTCTCACCCACAACATGTCTCATCCACAACATGTCTCTTCCACAAGATGTCTCTTCCACAACATGTCTCTTCCATAACACGTCTCTTCCATAACACGTCTCATCCACAACATGTCTCTTCCACAACATATCTCTTCCATAACACGTCTCATCCACAACACGTCTCATCCATAACATGTATCATCCACAACATATCTCATCCACAACATGTCTCTTCCACAACATGTCTCATCCACAACATGTCTCATCCACAACATGTCTCATCCACAACATGTCTCTTCCACAACATGTCTCATCCACAACATGTCTCATCCACAAGATGTCTCTTCCATAACACGTCTCATCCATAACACGTCTCATCCACAAGATGTCTCTTCCACAACATGTCTCTTCCATAACACGTCTCATCCACAACATGTCCCATCCACAACATGTTTCTCTCATAACACGTCTCGTCCACAACGTGTCTCTTCCATAACACGTCTCTTCCACAACATGTCTTTTCCATAACACGTCTCATCCACAACATAAACTTGATAATCTAAACTTCTCCAGTGAGTTTCATTCTCGTGTAAAAACTCAAGATAGTAAAAATCTTGCACAGATTAATTTATAATGTTTTTAAATGTCTGGGCTAACTAGATCGCTATGTGCACAAGAAGTCAGTTAATTTCGTCATTCTTAAATAAGATGATGTTAAATCTAGAATAGTTACGAAAGTTGATATCTGACGAAAAGTAAAGTCAGTTTGTGACCAAATCTTTATTCACCGGTACCAATTAAAGTGATACTATTTAAATAAAGTAAAGAGTGCTTATAGCAACGGATGGAGCTTTGAAAAACGAGTCTGGGAAAAGTGACAATGACCTGGAAACAATTGGTCCACTAACACCATCCACGTGATCACAAAACTACGGCTTTATAGCTTCGTGGTATATATATATGTTTGCAAGACGTGAAAGAAGACAATAAAAGTATCTCATAAATGTAACCTTTTCCAAAAGAAATGTATTAATAAAATCCCGAGGACCTCATACAGAGACCAATGAAGAGGTCCCACGACAGATGTGAGTTGTAGATGTCTCGAGAAATTGCAGATTGAAGGTTATGTGATAAGACTTCCAGACAGTCGACATGCCGAGACGATTCTGGATTGGGTACCACCACATGGGCCTAGAAAACGTTGCCGTCCAAAGAAGAGACCCGGGATAACACCATTACATAAAGACTTACACAGGAAATGAATATGAATTGGAACGAGGCCAAAGAAGCTGCGTGTGACAGGAACTGGAGGAACTAAATAACTAAAAGTTTCGATTGTGTGTGTTTAATTTTTTTTATCAGGCTAGGTTGGTCAAACGCTAACAGGATTGCAATTCGTAAGTTGTCAACAAACCTGAAACTTACTCCGATACTATTGTTAACATCATTAAAGGTTTGATATCGTCTTTGTTAGTTTTTAGTTACTATCAGTGAGAGTAAATTTTCCTTGACAAATAAACAAAAAGAAACAAACTCAGTAATGGTAAACAATAACTTTGAACATTTTTTTAATTATTATTTTTTGGATATTTAAAAAAAAACAACAACCCTGTTCTTACCTCAAAATAGATTTGGCCGTTAGAGGTTTTCCCTGTGTAAGTCTATGAGATAAACACATCTTCTCGGCACCCTAGAAATATTGAGTTGTAAGTTTAAACACAAAATTATAAGTTCCCCAAACATAGTAAAGACGTTAAGATATACAATTTTAAGAACTACAGTGTTGGAATGTTATTTTATAGATTTTATTTTATTGCCGTCGTTATTATAAAAATAAGAAATTTATTTGATCTTTTTCTGGACTCGCTAAACCACACATGTGATTCTAATAATCCCAAATAATTTAAACTTTCATTTTTGTTTTATTAGGGCTTTAAGAAAGATAGCTCTCACATTACTTCTTTGTATTTATATATACTTGTTTGTAGTTAAACACAAAGCTACAGGGTGGGCTATCTGTGATCTGCCCACCATGGGCATAAAAACTCGGTTTTTAGCGTTATAAGTCCGCAGACACCCAGCTGTGGTACTGGGAGGCTTATATATGTACTTTTCATTGATTGTGCTAAGAAAATCTAAGCATTAAATACAATTGTCTACCAGCCTAATGTATTTGCACATCACCAAACTTGCTATTCAAAATTAGCATATTCTATATAGGTATTGTTAATCGTGTCTCAGTTAGAATTGTACGCTTCTTGTCAACTTGAAACATGTAACCCTAGTTCTTAAAAAACAACTCACCATCTTTCGCCACAAGATGGCTCTGTACTGTTGAAAGTCTTGATTATTAGAGTCGTTGAGAACCACCGATAGAAAGAATGGAACCTTCTCGCAGTCTACTCCAGCATAATTCTGATGCACTAAAATATTAGATAATTTTATGGATTGTTAAGGAACTCCATTTTCTTGTGTTTTCGACTTATTAGCAAAAGTTCTGGTAGCTTAAATTCGACATAGCCTCGTGCGAGGGAAGTAAGAAATTTATGCTCAATACATTGTAAACTTCCAAAAGAAAATTGAATGACAAAGTTTGGTATATATATATTTCTTATCTAATTTATTAACATTTGTGGCACGGCCTTATGAAGTTAGCGCTAATCTCATAAAGTATAAAACAGAAAAAGTAATAAGAAAAAAAAAAAAGTCCACAAATGTTAGTGGAGACTGTGCTTCTTTAGTATAAACGTTGAAATAATCAGGTATACTGAAACCAAAAAATAGTTACGATAAAAGAACAAAAATCACCATCTTGGGAGATGTCAAGCTAGGAATAATATATACGAACGTTTGGTTGAAAGGAACCAAAAGTGGAGATCTGGTTACTCAACCAGATCCACCAATAATATATATATATACGAACATTTTGTTGAAAGAAACCAAAAGTGGAGATCTGGTTACTCAACCAGATCCACCAATAATATATATATATACGAACATTTTGTTGAAAGGAACAAAAAAGTGGAGATCTGGTTACTCAACCAGATCCACCAACTAATATATATATATATACGAACATTTTGTTGAAAGGAACAAAAAAGTGGAGATCTGGTTACTCAACCAGATCCACCAATAATATATATATATATATACGAACATTTTGTTGAAAGGAACAAAAAAGTGGAGATCTGGTTACTCAACCAGATCCACCAATAATATATATATATACGAACATTTTGTTGAAAGGAACAAAAAAGTGGAGTTACTTTATGGTAGACTTACACCAGACTTGTTCCTTTAAAAAACTTGCGAACGCTTAATTACGAAGTGACAGAACAAAACCTCACAGCAGCGTGCCACAGACGCCAGATGTCGCTAAAATACGGTAAATGAACCTTAAGAAAAAAAGGTATTCAATTAAAATGTAGGTGAGTAGGGAATTAAATCTAAAAGGTTTGTAATGCAGTAACGAATTCGAAAAACACTCAAACACTCAACAAAATAAGGAAATAAATCTTTAACACTAGAAGCTCAAGTCGTCTACCAGCAGAATCGAATCAACACATCCTTCTCTATGCCATATTTAAAACAGTTTCGTTTTCCCTTGTTACGACAGCGGGGGTCACGTGACGCTAGTAACACGTCATATTCTCGAAGGTTCGTGAATGCTCGAGTGTTTACTAGATATGCGGTATTCTTGTATATAAGACCGCCAAGAAGTGACGACAACAATGTAATGTAATTGAATTGCAGACAGAGATAGAGACGGACAGTTGGGTCGAGCGCGTGAGTCGTTCGTTGTGAATTATAGCGTGACCGTGGAAATTAAGTGAATTTCAAAGTTGTATTGAGAAAGAATAAACCAGTTTTATTTAAGAAAGGACTCGTGTCGCTAAAGTTTCTTCGGAAAGAATTTTTATGGAAAATCAACAAACGATCAGAGGCGTAACAAATTGGTGTCTGAAGTGGGATGGTATAAACAATAATAAAAAAGAATTTTCTGCACTTGAGTTGGCTGTTGCGATGAAGTTGAAATACATGGAATATTGCGAATCAATTATTTAAAAATTTATTTTCTAAGTTTTTTTATTAGTCTAACTTAACGCTTATTCTGTTACTTGTCCGCCTCAATTGACGTTATTAATTATATAATCTATTGTGTATGTAAAACTATGGTTTCTTAACTAACGCTGGAATATTTGGACTCTAAGGAATATTAAAGAACTCTAAGGAATATTAAAGAACTCTAAGGAATATTTGGACTTTAAGGAATATTTGGACTTTAAGGAATATTAAAGAACTCTAAGGAATATTTGATACAACAATTGTCATTCTATCGTTATTGTTTCTGAATCAGTGTTTTTATTATTTCTCATGTCTGACTTAATAGATTATTCTGTAAATATGACGTCTTCTTATTGCCCTACATCCTTTGTTGAGTGAAATATGTAACAGTTCAAAAAGGTACTGTAGGGATGATTTATGGCTAGCTTCCGTAAAAGTCTAAGACGTTCCACAAATTCATGGAACAATGTAATTGGAAACAGTTATAAGTGCATAAAACACGAAGAGTTAACGCAAGGTATTTTGATCGTAGTTAAGCACAAAGCTGCACGATGGGCTATATGTGCTCTGCCCACCATGGATATCGAATCCCGGTTTCTGGCGTTGTAAGTCCGCAAACAGACCGCTGTGCCACTGGGGGGGGGGGGGGCAAGGTTTCTTTTTGACTGATATACATATACTTGTGGAAATTGTGAAAACAAATATATATGTAGATGTAAAATAAACATTTAGAAAGGAAGAGAAGGTGAGAGAAGGGGAAAGAAGGAAAATCTTTGGGGGGTTTAATATCAGAAACAAATATGTTCTACTAGATGGAGTATCCGACTCGTTTGTAACAAAGGAAAGGAAATTGTGATTCTATTTTTTCTTTTCTTAACATAATAAACATGAAAAGTGCAATGAATATACGTAAAGGTGCTAATAGTGAAAAGAAAGACAATGTTGTTTTCAAGAATTCTAACAATAGCGGTTACATAGTTCTTTCTGAAGCTGAGGATTTACAACATTGGCAGTTTTTCCCCGAAATTAGATGTGAGGGGGATCCACCCCCCACGACATTCCCAGTGTCATCCTGTATCACTGTGCCAAGTTTGGTGCTGATTGATCGAG